AAACCCGCATTAAACCCGAGGGGATTGTGCTACAGGTGAAGTTATACAGTTTGTTGTTTCCGAGCTACTGGGATTCTATCAGTAATATAAAATATCACTGATAGCTCTTTTCGATATTCGTGCTAAATTAAGTCGCCGTTCCACTTGGAGCCTTTGTACAATGATAATGGTGATGGTGACCTATTTTGGGAAGACGATGTGGCTGAAACTGCAAACCTGCTGTGGGATTTCACGTGAAATTTCAACTAACTGACAGAAGTACAATGCTGCAGTGAAGATCCGAAGAGACTCATACTAGAGACTGTGGTTAACTATCTTACGCTGAAGCTCCCTGAGGGCATAATTTTGGCTCGATGGGGATGGGGGCGGATGCCATTACATCGCTTCGGGGGCAATGATCGATGTTTAGAATCATACACTCCTGTGTTATCGGTAGACAACTTTGCATCGCATCCAACTTACGCTCATCTTTTGATTTTGATTGGTTGTTTCAATTGGTTGTGTTAATAAACAATTTTCATGCCTCTACTGTTAAGCCAGCTGTTCCGTACGTGTACTATTGAGATTGGTGGTTTCTGTGTGTAACAAATGTCACTAGTTTGATCGCTGATGTAGTCGAAGTTCGAGCAGCCGGTTGAGTAGCCTTTATCCGAGTTTAAACCGGCTTCAGTAAGTTTGTTTCCGAAACGCGGGATAAATGACTGTCTGCTGGTGACTGGACACTCGCCGACAAGCAACCATTTATCCATAGTTGGTGGTGAGGTATAAGCTATACCGCTGATCTCACAGGTCTACCCATCAGCTGATCGGTTACGCTTTCTGGTTGAAAATGATACCATACTTTGGTTTACCAGCCTACTTAAAGCTAGACGTCTAGGGGTGAACTGAACTAAACGAAACTGTATATTTTCGAATGTTATTGCCACACATATCCTAATTACTTCCTTATCTTCTCAGACCCTTGTCATCAGGCTTCGCATCAACAAGCCTATTGTTTGGAGCATTGACTTAACATGGATGAACCAGTTCAATAAGAGTGGTAACGGAGTGCTGGAATTACAAACCGCTTCTGGCGATACCATATCACCCAAGGTCAACGGCATTCTGGAGGGTGCTTTGTCCCCTTCGGAAAAGGAGTCGCGGATGGTTATATGCTTTCGACCAAGTAAGTTATGTAATACCTCTCTTCTGGCTTACCTGAACAATGTGGCAGCTAGCTAAATCTGTGACAGTGATAGACCAGCCTTACTTGAACGCAGTTTGGTCAACTTCAGTAGAACTATGTGCACGAGCAACTAGTAATTGGTTGCATATTAACAGGTGCACGTACTGATCATGTCTGCATTAGAAGTTATGTTGAAAACCCGCATTTGGACACCGGAGCTGAAACTGCGAACATAATAGTGAAAGTTGATGCAGGTACTCATCAAACTGGCAAATTAGTAACAGATACTGTTAATCTAGGTGCATCCCGGGGAGCAGTAGAACATGAAAAATCAAGCCCATTATTACCATCAGTGGAACTCATTACAGAGCTGTAGTTCCGCACTAAAAGGTGGTCAGACGAAGTCTTTGCAATGAGAAATTACTGTTGTAGGTCGAGAGACTTGAAACAATCATGTGAGCGAACATTAGAGGAATGTTTGCCTGTGTTGAAGCCACATGACTGTTGCTCAGCGTTTAACTCACTTTAAAAGCGCGGAGTTGTTGAACTGTCAGCCAAGGTTTGTCAAATTGGAGTAAGGCTTTCCAGTCTATATCAAAATGTACGCTTTGGCTCAGAAAGGTACGGAGAAATAAGCACATTTCGTTTCTTTTTGTCTGGAGTCCCGCTGTGTGTTTCGCCCTGATCACTTTCCATTGATCTTTACTCTGCAGAAAGGGCAGGCGAATTTTGTGTTACCATCCCAATGTGGTTACGTGAGCCGATCTCAGGATGCGACAAACTGGGAAACATAGTGGATGAATGCGTACGCAAGCGTGCGTTGTACAAACCGTTTATGGTCCATATAAGAGTAGCTGAAACCCATATGTATTGTGTTCCGGAACGAATTATGTTTCCGACCGTCCCACCCGGAATAGAGCACAGGGAGATGATTCGGCTTATTGGTGAAAGGATCAGTCATCCAATGTACGTCACCGTTTTTTGGCCAGTCTCTGAGGCCTCATACGTAGAGAGTTGCTTGGATGCTGCTGATTGTGGATGTCCGTTTACAGTGGAATTTCCGGAAGGCCAAAGTGAGTTGACATACCTCTTCTATGTATGACTTGTAATGGTACGAAACTCCGGAGTAGTCCGGGAGGGTCGCTTTCAGTACTGTTTACCTCGGATGGCGCGAATATTCAAATATGGCCATTTGCCGAAAATAGAATAATTTCATCTATATAAACGTTTAACGTCTTAAGTCTAGGAATAAACAGTGATTTGATATTATTTTATGGCATTTGTACTTCCGAATTGGGTTAATATACGTATTACTAAGCGAATGCAAGTTGGTTTCTGGGAACAAATTAGCGCTCCATTGTGATTGGCGAAAAATAGCCGAAACGAAAATTTCTAATTACTGAACGGTTACCAACGTGAAAGATGTATGCGTTTGGCTATATCTAAATTAATAACTTTTAGTGGTTAAAGGCATGTGTGACGAAGCTTCTTCCACCGGAGTATCCCGGTGTTACTGTCAGGAAGCTGATGAGATTGGGTACCGTCCTAGTTGGCGTGTCGAATCCTCGACCTTATCTGCTGCGTGTATTTCACTCTACCCCAGAAAAACGCCAAGCACTATTGCGATTTTCGTTTAAACTCAAAAGTATCAATATCAGTGGACAGCCAGGTCTTCCATTTACGAATCGACTGAAATCAAGGGAAGCCCAAATGGAACTCAATAATAGGCGAGTAGTCGAAGTACAAGGTCTCCGGTTAGTGGGTTTTCAGGTGGTCAGCCGGCGGCCCATTTCCACTCTACCTGTACCCGTTCTGGTAGTGCACGATCCAGGACTGACCATACCGAATTCCTCCAGGTAGTGGTTAGTAACGTGCGTAGCCTAAGAAATAAGTTGTATGAGTAAGGTCTACTTGTGGATAGGTTTCATCCTGCCATACTTGTATTCACAGAAGGGTGGTTGTCTCAGAATATCATGGGCGGTAGAATACATCTATCACACTGTGCTTTTTTGTCTGATTGCTCCATTTGTCGACAAGGAGAGGCATCATTCTTTACGTGACCTGTACATTAGATTTTTGAGGACCTACTCCTTTCACCCGTTGAACAAAAGTGTCGTAGCTCTATCGGTTGTTATTAGCACTTCATCGGCTCAATTTACAGTGGTAGTTGTCTGTAGCAGCTCTGGTAGTACATGCAAACAGCTGCTTGTTTTTATCCGCTCTCAGATATCAAACAGGTGTCTGATGCTGGGCGACTTCAACCTCCCGGAGGTTTACTGGGCCCCCTCATTTCTGCAGTTCAGCGTTAGGTACTTTCGGTTCTGATCTTCTTGATCTTTCGATGCAAGTTCCACTGCACCAGTTCATGGACCTCTCCACTACGTACATGGATGCCCAAGTGCTCTTTAGTTTGGAACTTGTTTTGCGAGGTCACTCGACATGGTAGGTGGCCTTGCTCATGGCTCTCCTTTAGGTGCCAGTGACCATGTATATTTATCCTTAAATTGTGCGCTCTTCAGATGCTGATGCAATGAACAATGGCCACGTAGTGGACGTGCTTTCTTGGATTTTTGGAGAGCATTTGTTACGGTGCTCTAGTTGAGGCTATCATGAAAACTGAACTCTTAAGGTGGATCTGGACGTGCTCTTCACTGGGTGTCAGCATTTTTGCAGGGAAGAGACCAATATGTACGCATGGGTCGCAGCCTATCATTTACGCAAGCGGTCCTTAGCGTTGTCTCTCAGGCCACGGTGCTTGGACCGATGCTGTTCTCTGTCTATGTAATAAATCTCCCGGGGAGATTGAGGTATCATCGTTAGTATTTGCTGAGGACCTTAAGTTAAGGAATATTGTAGTAGTGCCTGATGGAGCATTCCACATGGCCGGGATGAAATCTGGGACCGGTCTAGTTTGTAACTACTGCCCATTAATAGGGGCAACTTTCCCACCTTAGAGATACCTACTCCGTTGGAAGGAACTCCACCTTGTCTTGGACCATGTTAACGTAAGCATCGTCCATACCTCAACTTTGCATTCGGACGGCCACTGAAAGAAGGCCGCTAGTAGGAGGTTTTGAATATTGTGGTTAGGACGCCACTATTTCGGAGTCTTAACTGCCGACATTCTTTAAGCTGTTCTTAGCCTTCGTTCGACGCCATCTGAAATACTGAGCCCAGGCTTGCAAGCTCTGCTTCGTTCGAGACAACATGGAGCTCGAGAGCGTTTTGCAAGTGAGCACTAGGTTGGTCGAAGGGTTACGAGGGCAAACGTACCCCGAACGTCTACTAACTTTGGGTATGTAATAAATGCAGTACCGACATCTTCGAGGAGATCCGGCCCTCACTTGCCGTAAGTTAACTGGGAGGGTAGGACCTGACTTGTCTTGGATATTTAGCCTGTCTAGGTTGTCTTCTCTTCGTGAAGCTGCACTAACCGCATTCCGACAGGATCAGGGCAGAAACTCGCTTATCGCGTACAGTTATCGAGCGCTAGCACGCTTCCGGAAAATCTAGTCAATGAACCTACACTTATGGGTTTTAATCATCGGTTAGACGCTTTTCGGAGGCAATTTGAAACCTTTCCCTTATTCTAACCATATCCGTCTTCCTTCTTGGAGTTTTTGTTCTGCGCTTTTCATCACTCACTGACATTATCCTTCATTTAGATGAGCTACCTTCTCCTTTATCTTTCCGTTCCTTCTTATATCTTCTTTACTTCGCATGGTGGGTACAGCGGGGACCGTTAGTGCTGGAAACGTGGGCAATAATGGATTGCGCAGTGTGGTTTGGAACGTCTTACCGTTTCCTGGTTTAACTATTCATTCAAGAAAGTACACACGTGATTCTGCTGTCGTTCCATCTCCACCTGAACTTGCCAACGGGAAAGACGTGTGCATGTGGCTACATATAAATTAATAAGCTTACATGATATATTCACTTATCCAACAGTTCGAATTACGGCGGGAAATAGAAATTTTCCTTTATATTCAAAAATTAAGATATCGTTCATTAAAGAGGTGTAAGCTTTATAGCGAATGTTTGCATTCCAGAGGTGAATTGCTTTCATGAATCTGCTGTTTGTAATAAATCTAAGCAAAGCAATATTTTAAGTCCACTCACAATGCACGCAGTCTACGCCTGCCTCACCTACACCCATCCAATCGCCAGCGCCCTCAGACACGATTGGATGTTCCTAGGTCACAGCGAGGGACAAGGCCGCAAATAGACCTGGGAGGGAGCAAATGGTGGGCGGTGTAATGCACCTTTCCCAGCCATCGTGGGAAAAAGTACGCTGTCGCGGGCAGGGTTCGAACCTGCGTGGGGTAACCCCATTGGACGGCAAGTCCAACGTCTTAACCACTCGGCCACCGGGACTATGGTGTCGTCACTGCATAAATGAAGTTTTGGTTCATGTTATTCCAACCACGAAGCTTATACACAACCTCAGTTGCTCTGACCTCGTGTTACCATGGCTTCTGAGAGAGCTTATTTAGTTACCCATCTGTCTACATATGCATCCGTAATATCATTTTTGGTTTGTGTGTGTGATTCCTACCGCGTAAAGTTACAAAAATACGGCGTGAACGTGCACACAAGTAGCTACGGTAGTATTGAGGGGATCTATTGGGTTAAAATTCGGTTTAAAGTATATACGTCGGTAGAAATAAGTGCATTTAGATGGACCCCTAAGAAGTCGTATTTTGCCTGGAAAAACCACTTATTTGATAAAATTATGCTTTTCATTAAATGCAAATGTGATGAACGGATTTCTCGATAAATGAACGGCTGCATACTCGAAGGATATGCATGTGCCTGGTTGCGCATAATCTAAAGAGCAAACAATTTATGTTCCGCTGGCCAGTATTGGATTTGCAGCCGACGACAAGAGTGCTCCCTAGCACAAGACCCGAGAAATTACTCATTATAGCAAGACGTAGAGAAACATGATGTTTGGAGAAAATTAGTGGAATGAATTACTGAGTATATTCCAAAGGCCGTTTGGATGCGTTTACATATTAGGCTTTAGAAATAGATTACTTTTATCAGCCTTTAGACTGGCAGATCCTAATAACAGTGCTTTATGCTGCCACAGAATTCGGTGTCTTTGCGCGCCATCCGCCCACGTAATGACACACCGCCTGTGCAAAGTAAGAGGACGTGCAATGCAGATACTTAACTCCAACAGTTGCAGTATCAAGCCACCGGATTTGATTACTTCGGTGCAGTAAATCACAATTGCAGAGGTCTGGAAGCATGAGGTAAAAAGCTGTCAGTCGTTCCTAAGCGTCCTTCAAAAAGTGTCAGTGGAGCTTAGGCGGAAATTGAAGGTTTGATTTAACTTTTTGTTGGTCTGCTATGGTTCATTTCAGTTCGACGCCTGTCCCTTGGGTAACAGCCTGTAATACCAACTTTTATGAAGTCGCGTCAACTAGAGTAGTCAAGGTCGTATTTTGATAACCTTTTAGCCAACAGGGTAAGAGAAAAAGCAGCAACTCGACGGCGGCAATGCTTGCTGCTTTTGGATACAGCACCTCAGGACTTAGTCCCTAAGCACCGGTAGACCATCGATAACCCAGTTACCTATAGCAAACGCCACCCTGCCAGATACAACCGTTTAATAAGATGAGGTGAGCGCTTATATCCTACGAGATTTCCAAGTAGTATCAAGAAGCAAATCTAGTTACGGGAAACCAGATTTACTGCGGCCTAAGGGTGATAGCATTTCTTAAGTCTAACTGTCGCTTCTTCGTGCTTCAAATAACTGCTTGTTCCGCTTCATGGAGTAGTTTTAGAGGGTCGCCTGTACCGGGAGCCCAGATAGCGATTCGAGAAGACGGATCGAGTTGCAGGGAAACTTTTATTGGTACAGTAAAAGATTCCCTGTTATCTAGCTATAAAAGAACGACACCGTGGACGCTCTAGCTAGGGGAACGGAGCAAGCACAGCACACAGGGCAGTTGCGAGTTGCAACCGAAACGAGCGCCAAGCAAAAATGGCGATGAACAAGGCAAGCATTCGAACTCAGCGATCAGTTCAACAAACCACACCGGTTGCCTAGGTGTACAATGAAATA